ACGGGGGGGGGCCTGGGCTGGGATTCGACGATCTGACCTGCGTGGTCTTCTAGTTCCCCGCCTTTGCTACACTGAGAAGCGGGACCCCGAGGGCAGACAAGGGCAGTGAAGGAAAAAGGACGAGGTCACGGGAGAATGTCCACCCTGGCTTCTGAACTGACGAGTGGACCAGGGTTTCCACCGGTGGCCTGCGCTATGCTCCCTCATTAACCAGGCAGTTTTCCCTTGCTGGCTCATGTTAAAGCCTTTCGAATGATTACCTTTAAATCACTTGTCACTCATGACAAAGCATCATTGTGTTGGTTGGAAAATTCTGACTGTACAGGCACAGAAGTTCTCAGCAAAAACAGGGACCTGTCGTTATTTTTAAGTAGCTATGGCAGCCTGGGAACCACAGAAAATTGTTTGTTCTTAAAACTCTTGATAATTCTGCAGAGCTTGAATGAAATCAACATTCTGGGGGGGGGGGTTTGAAGGAAATTATGACTTTGAGGAAATAACTAGGTACCTTCTGCACAATGTCAAAAGGCTAAAGTAGAAACTTGTGGTTACCCTCATTTACTAATAACCTATTCATTGTACTTAAGAGACTTGCCCACAGTTACATTGCTGTGTTAGCCAAATCAAAATTAGAAATTGTGGAAGCTGGGGCTTTAGCTCAGTGGCACCACACCTGTCTCACAAGCTCAAGGCCCTGAGTTCAATTCTTGATACTGAAAAAAGAAAAAAAGAAGAAGAAGGAGAAGAAGAAGAAATTGTGGTTTGCACAACCACTCTGGGATTTTATGCCTGTAACACACTCTCATTTAAGTGTACATACTTCTTACTGTCTAAGTGGAAAGAATAGAAGGGTAGAAAGTAACATAGCCACAAGTGCTAGAAGTCTAGTAGAGTTTTGGTTTACTGCAGACTTTTTTTTTCTATGTGTATGTTCACACAATATCAAGCTGAATATATTTAATTTTAAGTAGTATGGTTTATTCTGATTACAAAATAAATTTTAAAAGATTTTTATTGCAGAGCTTGTTTGTTACACATTTTACTAGCATAATCTATGTGACATATTGCTATGGAGTTTATTAATTTTTACAGATTTAAAAAGAAATGATGGGCCAGGGATTTAGCTCAGTGGTTCTGCAGCCTGCCTAGCAAGCACAAGGTCCCGAGTTCAATCCCCCATATGAAAGAAAGAAAGACTCAGATCATTCCTAATACATTTTAAAGATGAAGAAAACCATTACTATAGTTCCTTGCAATCAGAAATATGTTGCTTTTTGTTAGGTGCCTTTAGTGCTTATGGGAAAATGCTTATGTTTAGTTTCTCTTAGCTCATTTTCTCTTCTCAGCCATAAAGACTGAGCTTCTTAACTTGGGAGATCAGTGTATGGATTTGCAGGAGGACAGTCTTCAAACCCCCTGAAATAATAGGCAACATCATATGAAGTATTTTGTGGACAAGGTTAGGTTCTCCCCCCAAAGTTAAGATTTACTGGTGTTAAAATTTGTTAGAACAGTTTCAATTAATGTTTGAAAGTATGTCAATCTTATCAAGCATTGCTTCTAACTGTGAGGTGAAGAGTGTTTCAAACACCTGGGTTGAGGCAGAAGCTCAGCCCAGATAATGTGTAGGGCCACAGATTTGCCTAGGCTCTGAAGTCCTCTTGATAAAATATTTCAATTGGATTGGACATGATAGTATAAACTTGTAATCCCAGCACTCAGGAGGCTGAGGCAGGAGGATCACCAAAAATTTAAGGTCAGCCTGTGCTACATATAGTGAGATCAAATCAAGCCTGAACTACTTAGGGAAACCCTGTCTCAAAAACAACCAAAAAAAAAAAATCTTTCATTTCCAAATGTGTAGAAAGGAGTTCAGTACTGGCTTTAGGACAGTATCTTTTAAGATAAGAACCTGAGTTGCTTGCTGAAACTGTGGATTTCTGTGCCTCACATCTGGAGTATGGATTCTGATTTACATTTTGGGTAGAGCCAAAGAATTTATTCCCTTTTAAGTAAACATGCCTGGTGAGTTTTGTATCCTCAGATTTGAGACCCCTGTAATTATATGTGGAGTTTTTCTGGGAGAAGATTCATAATTTCCATTATATTTTCAAAGCAATCCATGATCTAAAAAAAAAAAATCCAGAGAAACTTTGGCATTAGGGAAAACTGTTTTGTTGTAGTTTCAGGGCTTCAGTACGGAAATCCCCCAACATGATGTTTTTCTTTACTCAGGTCTTCAGGCCTCAGCACCATGGTCCCAATTTTGGGGGGAAGATTTTATTTAAAACTTTTATCATTATTTATTTTTCTAGAAGTTTGTAGTACATAATGTCTATGTTCTTTGCTTGGAGTTGGTACATGTACATAACACATCTTAATTTCTTTTTTCATCGCATCTCTTGATCTCTTTCCCATTTGAGAAAAATCTATCTCCCTACTTATTTTATTTTGCTCTTGCTCAGAAACTGTAGTGTTTAAACTTGTATGTCTGGTTTATTTCACTTAACACTATTGTTTCAAGGTGCACCCATTTTCTTACAAATAACTCAAGTTTATCTTTCTTTATGGCGTGATAGTACCCCATTGGGTGTAAATACCACATTTTTCTTTATCCATTTATCTGTTGGTGAACATATATAGAACTTCCAACATTTGGCTATTATGAGTTGTACTGCTGTAAGCATGGATATTCATGTATCACTGTAACATGATGCCTTTAAGTCTTTCAGGAAGATACCTAGAAGGAGAAGAGCTGGGTCAAATGGAAATTCTGGTTTTAGTTTTTTGAGGAATCTCCCTACTGATTTCCATAGTGGTTGTACTAATTTACCTTTTCATATTATGTCTCCTCACCAAAATCTGTCTTTTTGTGCTTAGTAAAACCCGGTGACATCAAGCAGCCTATATTTTTAAGATGTTCACATATTTTCTTGGTTTAACTAAACCCTGTTCTTCCTTACATTTCTGATAACTTCAATTTTCTTTCATGACCATTCACTGTTATTTAGGAATTTAATTTGGCAGCTTCAATAGAATCTAACAGTGGTTTAAACAAGACAGTTGTGTCTTTCTCGTACAGTTATCTGAATGGATAGCAGTGATGGGATGGGTGGAGGTAGGCAGCTCCAGTGACCCAGGTTCATTCCATCTTTTTGTTTCACACCTCCTAAAGGGTATTGTCCTCCTCTCTATGGTGGAAGGTGCTTCACTCCATTAGTATCTGCATTCCAGGCCATTGGAAGAGGAAAAGAAGTAGGGGGTAAGTACCTCCCCTTTATTTTTAATTTTTATTTATTGCAGTACTGAGGATTAAACCCAATGTCTTTGCACTGAGCTACAGCCCCATTGGTTTCTTGTGTGTTTGTTTGTTTGTTTTTTGTACCAGGAATCAAACTCAGGTCCTTGCACTTGCAAGGCTGGCAGCGGAACCACTGAGCTAAATCCCCAGACCTAGTTTTGTTTTGTTTATTATTTTGAAACAGAGTCTCTCTCAATTGCTCAGACAGCTCAAATTTTCAATCTTTGCCTCAGTCTCTCAGAGTTGAGATCATAGGCACATACCACCACACCCAGCTTCAAGCAACTCCTTTTGAAAGATGTGACCAGGAAGTAGGATACATCTCTTTTATTCAGATCCTATTTACTATAATTTAGTGACATGACCACGCCTGGCTGCAAGCCAGTCTAGGAAATGCCTCTAGAGGAGTAGTTTGTATTGAGGTAAGACTTCAAGTCTGTCAGGTAGAAGAAAGGGAGCGGCTAGATGTTTCAAGGCAATCTCTGCTGTATCAACCAGTTAAATTTTCTGCTTTGAGTTAGTTTTGGGAATTTTTTTAACAGAAATTGTTCTTTGGGAAATTTTATTGACAGTTTTAAAGTGTCTATGATAGCTTCTTTCTTATTTATACTTTCTTTTGGTCTATGCTTTTGTTTTGACAAGCCACTGGCTTGTATATTTCATTATTTAGAAAAGCAGCTTTCGCCTGTCAGCTCTTTGTGTTTGTATTTTTATCCACAACCTTGTGTGTGTGTGTGTGTGTGTGTGTGTGTGTGTGGTACCAGACGTCAAACTCAGGACCTTACACTTGCAAGGCAGGTGCGGTGCCAGTCAGCTAAGTCCTCGGCCCTATCCAAGACCTTCTAATCCTCTTGCTTTCCCTGTGCTCTGCTTTTTAATTCTTCTTTAGTTGAATGGTTTTTTTTCATTCTTTTTGAAATTTTTATTTGAAAGTAAAAAGGGTACAAATTGAATTGCTTTCAATCTTTGGCAGCAATTCAGGAAATTTTAATTTATAGTTGCCTCATTTTCTCTTGTAAGAATTACATTTTTAAATTTTCTCTTTAACTCCATAGCTACTAAGGAGGTCTTGCTTTAATTTTCAGATGGTAAGTTTTTTCCCCATTCCAGACTTCTTTTTACATTTGTAATTGTAGTGATCACAGGACAGGATGTAGTCTATTCTTCTAAGCCAGAAATAGAAAAGTAGAATTAGTGCTAGGCACATCTGAACAAAATCTCTGCCATCTTATTTCGCTACAGTATCAAATGTTTATTTGGCATATTTTTTCCAATATAAAATGAAGACTGCTTAATGCTTTGTGGATTGAATTCCACTTTATCTTCCATTATCATTAATCTTGCTTCCTTTCTATTTGGGTTTGCCTCATGTACAAACAGCAGATAGAAAAACGTTTGAAAATGAAATTGGGAGGGTCATGCCAACATTTCTAATATCATTTACACTTTGATGTTGTGTTCTCTTTTCATGAAGCTACGGTCTCTGACTTCTTGAATAGTTTTACTCTTCCAAGAAAGCTAGGAAAAAGGAGATTCTTACAATATTTCATTATTAGATGAGTAGGAGATTGTTGCAAAGATTTAATTATTTTCTTTAGCTTCACACTGTGTGTTATTTAAGTGAAGAAAGTATAGGCCAGTGGTGGGAAACCTATGGCAGCACACATGTTACTGTGTTTTTCTTTTAAGACAAAAGATGTTTGTTTTTGTTTTTTTTAAACTGAAACAATATTCAAGTTTAATTATAGTGTTGGTGCTTTGCGACAAATAAATGGGTTTGGGGTTGCAGTTTGGCACTTGGTCTCTATCAGTGGTATAGGTTTGGGAATTAAATTGATTTGGTATCATGTGTCTGCATGGCCTTAGGTTAAGTAGTTTGAATTTTCTAAGCCTCAGTTTCCTCATTTATGGAATGGAAATGTAATTCCAGTTGGGTTGATGTGAAAACTAAATGAGAAAATATTTTAAGAGCTCCTAATGCAATGTTTGACTTTCTAGGTATGACTATGTTTAATAGTATTATTGTCTCGAGTCTTCATTAGCATGGATCTCTGTCCCTCACTGATCTTATGGGCTGCTCTTGTGTTCCCTTAGGGAGATCAGGCTCACTTGTATGTCAGGATTCCAACTCACTGAGTCTGAAATTCCCAAGGCAAGACTGATTTTCATGGCTTATTTCTCATCAGATATGGCCTTGCAAAACTGTACATTTTCCGGAGAAGAAAACACAGAGGCAGAGATTATGGCTGCTGTGGTTTTTTCAGTTGGACCTCTGGTAAGTTAGGGCCTTCTCTTTTTCTGTCTGGCTGTATTGAATTGAGAACATGTCTACATTTCCTAAAATCATGTGACTTCTGTGCCTCACTGACATTCTTCCTGGGAATAGAACTAAACTGATCCATGAAAATTAGATTTATCAATAGTAAAAGTTACAATCAATGGAAAGTATACAAAAAAGAAGTAATTACATAATTTATTGAGGTGGATGGTAGTTGTTTAGCTTATGAGTGTTATATAAGGAAAGAAATGGACAAATTCTTTGTGGAAAGTTCATAAGGAGAGCTTGATTTAACCTGGTACCTAATTGTAAGTGGGATTTAAATTGTCACAAAGTATTTGTGAGGATGTTCCAGGTGAGAACAGAGTTTCAGGGCAAGGCTCTGAGACAGTAAATAGTGGGTAACATAGTGATTCAAGTTGAAAAGTTGTAAAAAGATAGGGTGAAAATTAGATATTTAAGTTGAATTTTTTTACATTTCCCTAAAGACATTTAAATGAGTATATGTGTGTTCTTATGTATGTTTGGATGGATATCTAAGTGATTAGAAACTGGGCTAGTAGTGACTTTTTGAAGAAGATTCACAAGAAAGGTAATACCAACAAATATAATTTATTATAGTAGTTATCTGTGATCTTTATTAGTAATCTTTTATTTTCTGTTAAAAACACCCTGTTGAAAGACATAGTTTTCTCAGTCGTGTGTATGTTTGTCATTATCTCAAACAAAGTGAAAGATTATGATTGAATGTTACAATGGTACCTTAATTGTACCCCTTCCCAAAACAGTAAAGGGGGTTCCCCATGTATATTGCATGCACAATGGACCAGTGGTACCTGCTGAGGCTCTGCTACAGGTCAGAGGCAGCCTGTCACTGAGTAATCTCATCCTGTGTCCCTTCAGAAGCCTGAAATTACCCAGCCACATGAAGATCTGCACCTTCAAGCAGAAGAAGCAGAATTAGTAAAGGTAATACCTGCTATAGTATGTAAGAGGAATAAAGAGAAAGTTCCTCTCACTGCCCCAAATTCCCCAATATTCATAGTTTATTAGTTCACAGTGAATATTTGATAAGTATAGTAGCCCTGGGCTAGTAGCATCAATTTGCAGCCCCATGGGATTATTTAACATGCCCTTCTGCCCCTGTGTTTCCTTTAAATTGTTAGTTAAATCCTTGATCGGATTCAGATTTTTATTTTTTATAATATTTTGGCAATATTATTTCATAATGCTGGTTTTCAGCATCGGAACATACATGATGCCTGAAGCTTTTTCTTCTGTTAGCAGCCCCTAGTAATCCTTTGATTCATGAGTGCAACAAGGTGATGTTCTAATTCTCCCTTCCTCCTTTATTTGTACACTGGAGTAGTTCCTCAAAGAGAAACCTCCCCTCACCATTTACTGAGTTATAGGTGATCAGTATACAAACTATAGTTTTCATAGGACAGTGGTGGTGAACCAACAGCACAAGTGTTGTTTTTCTAAGACAAAGATGTTCATGTAGAGTTATTTTTTTCTAAACTAAAACCCTGGTATTCAGGTTTAATTGCAGTGCTGACACTTTATGATAAGTAAGTGGGTTCTGAGTTGCAGTTTGGCACTTGGTCTCTAAAATGTTCACCATCACTGGCATAGGAAAAACGGGACAAAGCATTGATTTTTTCTCTCTCATTATTTACTGTTTTGCAGACATTTTTCAGTGATTATGAGTAGGGTTTTTTAGTGGTTTATTATGAACTTTCAAATGTAAATGTATTAGATATTTTAAAACTCCATTGCAGTTATTATCTTTATTGTCCCATCATTGGTGAAGTTGTCACATGTATCCTATACATAACCTGAGGAATCTTTGATAACTTTGCTTTTTTTCTTTCTCTCTCATTGAGTTTATTGGTACATTTTAGGTAAACAGTACAGTTACATTCATCATTGGGATCTTGTACCCTTACATGACAGGCCTTGGTTCCATTTTTTCCCTTTGTCCCAGCCCTCCCTTCACCCCCTCCTCCCCTCCCTATTTACAAATACTTCATTTCCATTTTTTCATTTTCTCATATTTTTTTCTTTTCCCTTATTACCTTTCCCCTACCCTTCCCACTTTCCCTACACCTTTAGCCCTTTTCTTCCTATTTCACATTGTCGGTTATCTCATTAGGATATTATGTACTAGTATAGTTTTTCACACCAGAGAAACTATTCGATATTTACTTCACTTAGGAGTATATCCTCAATATGTATCCATTTTCCTATGAATGAATCTAATTTCTCATTCTTTATGGCTGAGTACTATTCCATTTTCTAGAAAAACCACATCTTCTTTATCCAGTCTCCAATTGATGGGCAAATGGGCTGTTTCCAAGTTTTAGCTATTACAAACTGTGCCACTATAAACATAGGTGCACATATATCAATGTGATATGATTCTTTTAATTCTTCTGAAAAGTTACCCAGCAGAGGGATGGCTGGGTCAAATGGAACTTCTAGTTCCAGCTCTTTGAGGTATCTCCATATTGATTTCCATAGTGGTTGTACCAGTCTGGACTCCCACCAACAATGGAGAAGGGTTCCTTTCTCCCCACAACCCCTCCAACATTTGTTATTGTTTGATTTCTTGATAGCAGCCACTCTTTGTGGGGTGAGGTGGAATCTCATTGTTGTTTTCATCTGCATCTCTCGAATGACCAGTGATGTGGAGCATTTTTTCATATATTTACTTGCTGCTTTTACTTCTTTGTCTGAGAAATGTCTGTTCATTTCAGATGCCCATTTTTGAATCGGGTCTTTATATTTGAGGGGGGCTGATTGTTTTGAGTTCTTTATATATTCTAGATAAGAGTCCTTTGTTCTTGCTTTTTAATGTAGAAAAATGTCCCAGCCCTGTTTCATTTTAGTGGGAAGTTATTTGTAGAGGCCACAATCTGGCTTTCATAATGCTACCTTATTAGTTATTGTTCTAGACACTTATAGGTGGATGAAGCTAGGAAACAAACTTTAGTTTTTTCCTTTAACATAAAATAATTCATGAATCTTTGCTGACAACTCCGGTTGAAACTCAGAACTATAGACTTTTTGAAAGCTAATCTCATCAGTATTACACTTATATCTTCTTTCTTTCATGCCAAATTTTTAGTTTTCAACAGCATCAATATAGTAATTTGCTTTATCCAACACTGTACACACAATACTTATAGAATAGCATTTCTGACACTAACATCAATATGATTATTTATTGAAAACATTTTAGTTTGTTTTTGTTTTGTGATTCTTTTGCTCCTTGAGTATGTCACAGATACATACAGAAAAATTACTGTTTTAAAGTCACTCAAAATAATTTCCCATGAATGGCTGTGCAATCAACTGGGTATGTTTTAATTTTTAGGGCTTGTTTTTAAAACTTCTCTATTTTAAAATAAACTGTTTACATGGTTCCAAAGTCAAATATATAAAACATGTTTAGAAACATCTACCTTCTACTTCAATTTCTTGTTTCTTCCTATCCCGAGTAGGATAAACTGACTAAAGAACCTCCCCAAAGTCCTGTGCTTTCTTTTCTTTCTCTGAGAGGGGTTATAATGTCTAAATGGTAAAATGTATCATTTATTAAGCTATACTGTATTGACTGGAACTGAGGGAAGATTGTTAACAGATAAACCAGCTTTTAAGGGAGAAAAGATGATTTAGATGGAAACTACTGACAGTTATAAAATATTTTAAAGACTCTTAGGGAGAGAGAAAACCATCCTGTTTGACTCCAAGTAATATAGTAGGACCAATACTTAGAATTTATAGTAAAGAAGATTCAAAGGTCTGAAAAAAAAGGCCTATCAAGTGAAACTCGGATGATGGAATAGGCTTCTACTTGTGGTTTTAAGTTCCTGTCATATATGCTATAAGGACCTTATAAGGACCTTTGCAAGTGTTAGGTCAACCTGAGCTACATAGTGAATTCAAGGCCAGCCTACAAAGCGAGACCCTGTCTTAAAAAAAAAAGAATTAGAGATATTAAGTCTGTACTATGCCACGGCAAGGTAGAAATATGATTGGGGGGCGGGGTACTGGGAGTTGAACCCAGGGCTTCACTATGAGCTAGATCATTGGTGTAACTTTTTAATTTTTATTTTGAGACAGGGTCTGGTTAAATAGCTAAATTCCCCAGGCTGGACTTCAACTTGTAGCCCTTGTGCCTCAACCTCCCAGGACACTGGGATTATAAAAGTGTGTCGTGTCACCACACCGAGCTAAAAACATGATTCTTTTTTTAGATTAGTCATATTTTGATGCTCAATAGTTATAGGTGATGACTCACCCCCATATGAAATGGTATGGGACGAGAGCTCAGAAGGAGCAAGAAGTGTGACTTGACTGAAGACTTTGTATTGTTTTGGGATTTATACACTATTACTTATGTCAGAGTCTGTGCCACCTGTAAAACATGATGCTTTTAAAAATTATTTTTTATTTTCTCCACACTATTTTGTGGTAAAACTATTTGATATTAAATGTTCCTATAAGCAAATAATTTGTAGTGCAGACAGTTTTTATTTTCCTGACATCCACGTTATACAACTCTAATCACTAAATCCTTCCTCATCACTGAAGGGTGTGCTGCTCTTCATCCTCTGACGCTGTGAATCCCCTGACGTTGAGGGGCCCCCTTCTCTGGGTTTCCTTTTGTTCTGTTCTTCAGTCTTGGCTTCCTGGGACACGATGGCTTGGCTGACACTGTCGAGAGTGGGGTCTTCCCCTTCATATTCACTTTCTGCTATGTCCTCAATTTCTTCTGATTTGGCAATTTTCTTTTTGGTCTTCTTTTCCTTCTTCTTTGGAGGCTCACATTCTCCAAGCATATTTTTTGGACAGGTATAACTTAAGTGTCTGCTTTCAGTAGTTTCGCCTTTGGATGAATTCAGCAGCTCTCCCATTGTTAGTAACAATGCTTGCCTTTATCACTCTACCAAACAATTGTTTGATGTTTGTGGCTCTGGTACAGTTTTGTGCAGTCTTTATCCAAAAATAATATAAATACAACCACTTTACTCTTCCTCATATCTTTGTCTTTCATTATAGAATTCTTTACAACTATGCTATACTTGGAAAATATCCCGTATAAGTCGTTTGTCAGGGAGAAGGGCAAGTTGGACACATACACTGTGCTCTTATTGGAGCCAAGCCACCACTCATTTCTTCAAGGACCACAGCCCTGGTGCAGCAGGGATTCAACCCTGACTTTTCCTCGCCCCTCACAGCAGCCTGGGCATCCCGTGTCCTGGGGGTGGGAAGGCAGTTGGTACAGAGCCCAAGGGTCATGGCTGCAGAGGGGCCCAGCATTCTGTGGGGCCACATTGGTGGTACCTTTTTTATTTTTTGAAACAGGATCTCACTGTGTATTCTAGGCTGGCCTTGAACTCACTAGATTCAAACTTGCAGTGATCATCCTGCCTCAGCCTCCCAAGCGCTGGTGCTGGGATAACAGATGTGCACCACAACGCCCAGCCAGGTTGACCTTTAAAATCATTTAGTGATCCTGTTTTTTGCAGTTCTTCTCTAGTTTTATATTTCCCTCTACCTAACAAGTCTAATTGTACATAGTCTCGGTTATTGCTCTATATTTATTTTAGGAATCAGTGACATTTAAGGATGTGGCCATAGACTTCACACTGGAAGAATGGAAGTTGATGGACACCACACAGAGGAAACTGCACAAGGATGTGATGCTGGAGAATTACAGGAATCTGGTCTCCCTGGGTAAGGATAACTTATTTTTGTATTGATGGATTTGCCCATTTAACTACATTTGCAAAGAATATAGACTAGAGCTTCAAAAGTACTTCACTGAATTGAGTTTAAAATGGAGGCATTCACAGTTTCTCAGCACACTGTTGGAAGTTATACTCTTCTTCTTAACTAAATCCTGTGCTCATTATGTAGTAGGAAATATGTTTCTTTGGAATCAGATTGCTGAAAGTGCCACAGACTTAGGACCAAAGTTTTTTCTGATCCCTTCCATAAAATGGGAATTATCATTGCTTCTAGAAAGAAAGAAAGAAATGTGTTCATTTTTTTCTGAATTCAGATTATTTTCATGATCCCACCACACAGGATCATACTGCTGAGCTCCCTTGAGATGCTATATAATTCTCTAGGACCTTACTATATAACAGCACATTCTCTTACAATAGGGATGTCCACTGTATATCTGTGTTTTCCAGTATGGCAAGTGCTAGCCACCTGTGGCTTGGAGCACTAAAAATTTGACTACTCCATCTGAAGAAGTGAATTTTCAATTTTACTTAATTTTAAATACCTTCACTTCAGGTTTGAATAGTCACATGTAACTGTTGGCAATCACATTGGACAGTGTAGCTCTAAAACTTCCTGTAATGACTACCCTATACAGAGTAAGAGTTGGAACTGTATTTGGTAATAGGTTTTGCTTGTAGCTTCAACTAAGTCCTATTTCTTTTTCTCTGAACAGGGCTTGCAGTTTCCAAACCAGATATGATATCTCATTTGGAGAACGGAAAAGGACCATGGACATTGGTGAGAGAAATTTCCAGAACCCCCTACCCAGGTAAGTTAAACAAAACCATAAAAATAGTGTTTCTTTCAAATAATAGGTCGTGGGGAGATACTCAACAGAATATAGGAAACATTTTTGGTAGTATTTGTCCAAAGCTGCCCAAAGAGAACACTCCCTCCCCATTTCTGTCTCTCTCTGCCCGTCCCTGTTGCTGTGTCTCCTTTCCCCAGTCTTTTTCTTCCACTTTTGGCACTGTGTCCTATCTGATTTGACTTTCTTGGGAATATAATTTTCACAAAATTTCTTCATTTCTTTATTTAAGCATTCATAACATACCCTTTTAGTTCTATCCTTTCCATTTAACTTTATGTTCTTCTCATTTGTTTCACCATTTATTTCTCTGAAAATAATTTCCTAAACTTCACCACTGTCAATTTTGAGTGAAATCTGTTTACTTGTGATTTGATGTTTGTTCTTCACCTACAAGGCTGCTGCGGCACTATGGGGGACTCTCGCCCTATCCTTCTGGTACTTAACTAATTGAGGATACAGAGAAGAAATCAGTTGAAAATCAAAATGCAATGTTCATTTACTTAATCAGTATTTATTATATATTTATATTCTGTGAACTAGGTTGGTACTAGGGCAACAGCAGTGAGTACGATATAACAACTCCCTGTACTCATGAAGGTTTAGTTTCAACAAGTAGATCATTAATAAGTAAATAAAAACTAAATGATGGCTGTAATGCCTTTTAGCTATGAGATAAATGGGAAGATATAAAAAATAATGGGGAAGCCCATGAAATACCTTCTCCATATGGGGTAGTTGGTGGAGCCCTTCGAGAAGATGACGTTAAAGTTGACCTGAGCTGTCAGAAGAAGCCAACCAGGGGAAGAGAAGAGAAGAATTCCAGGAAAAAGGAACAGCAAAGCCACAAGGACCTGATATGGCAAAGCTCATAATATGGTCTAGAAATCAAAAAGAAGCCTGTGAAGGCCAGGGATTTAGCTCAGTGGCAACCCTCCTGCCTCGTAAGTGCAAGGTCCTGAGTTCAGATACCCGGTGCCAGAAAAAAAAAAAAGCCTGTGAGACTGAGGCATAAGTGGAGAGAGACCTATATTGAATGAGATTAGAGGGGTGGACAGGAACATGCAGGGTTTAGTAGATGATGGTAAGGAATTAGGAGTCCAAGTGAGCTGAGTACAAAAGCATGGAATGGTTTTAGTTAAGAATTTTTAGAAAGTAACCCTGTTTATGAAGATGGAATTTAAGAGCTTAAAGCAGACAGTAAGTTAAGAGGTGATTACAACAGCATAGGCAGGAAATGATAGTAACTTTGATTAGGGATGATTGTGGTGGAGATGGGAAGAAATAAATGGATCTTAGTTCATTTGAGAGTTTGTTTTATTATAGTACCATCCATATATCATCATATATTGGATATGAAATATCCAAATATCCAAATATGAAATGTTATTTATACTTAAAGCAGTTGCCATTTCTGATGCCTCCATGTACAATTCCAGCTTCTCAGAAAGCTGAAGCCAGAAGATCACAAGTTTGAGACCAAGCTGGACAACTTAGTAAGACATTGTCTCAAAATAAAAAATTTTGAAAAGAGCTGAGGGTATAGCTCAGGAGTAGAGTGTTTATCTAGCATACATGAGGCCCAGGACTCAACCCCCAGTACCAAAAAGAAACAAAAAATTGAATAAGTAAAGGGAAACATGGAGATAATTTTAGATGAATCTTGTAGAGATTTTTTTCCTCTCTTTTAAGGAGATAGGGAAAAATGGGGTAGTGACTGCTGGAAAATAGGGAGTAAAGAAAAGCACTCTTGTTTTTGAGACAAGTTTCTAAGGCATGTTTCAGTGCTAAAAGGCACACCTCAGTGGAGAGGGAGAAGTTACTGTGGCAAGACAAATATGATGCCACAGAAGGACTAAGGTGTTTGAGAATGTTTAAGGTGACAAGAAGAAGGCATTTACCCCTGATAAACAGAGAGGGCAGCTCCTGTGTTCTAACACTAGCCGAGATGGAGAAAGCTGGTACAGATGTAGGGCAGCATTCTGTCATGGTAACTTCCATTTCTTTAAAATGTGAGAGGAGGTTATTATGAAGTGACAGTGAGAGAAGAGTTGTGAAAGGGAGTTTCTGTTTTATGGCATATAGGATTCACTAGGTACATTGAAGTTATCTTGGCCTGAAGTTTTTATTGTAGAAAGTATTTAATTATGGTTCATAGTACTTGTACAACTATTTGTATTACTTATTTTTATTTTGCTTATCAAATTGTGTTTTTCTAGGAATTAGTCCAGTGAACCTAAAATTTATGTTTATTAGTATACTATCCTTTGTTTATCTTTTAAATATCTATATAGAATAGCAAGACCCTGTCTCAAAAATAACAAAAAAACTATATAGATCTAAAGTGACATCTATCTTTGCATTCTCAATAGTGAACTTCTTTCTTTAATCTTAATTAGTCTTTCTAGGGTTTATCAGTCTCATTTGGCATTTAAAGCACCATTCTGTCCATGATTCTTGTGCCTTCAGTTTGTTTCACTACTTTCAATTTATTTCATTATTTTTGCATTCTTAAGATTTAATTTGAAGATTCTCACTAAATGATTTGGTTGCATAATAATATATTGATTTTTCAGTCCTTTTTCTAATAATGTATTTAGGGCTATTAGGACTATATGAAACTTATTTTATGCGGCTCTCTGGGGGGACCCCGTCCAGCGGGGAATAGGAGGTGAGAGCCGCCTCTTATTCGTGGGTCATCAGAGGCCGATCCGATCTTGAATGTCTGTGAAGGAAATCTTTAAGAAGTTAGAGCACACGGCCCAAGTCTGGTTTCTGATCAAAGGCTCTTTATTGGCTCAGCAAAACGATTATATACTGTTATCCCAGGGGGAAGGTTCAGCAAGCTTACTGGACAGTTCAAACAAATCCTCTACCAATCACATGAGTCACTCAAGCATTTAACCATACAGCAATCAGTATTTTACCAAATGTGGGGAGGGGTAAGTGGGAAGGCATACATCAACAGTTAACCCTATGCAATCTTTAACTTAACAATCTCTAGGGGCAAGCAGGACAAGGAAATACCACCGGCCTCCTGCTCCAGATCCCGTGACCCTGTGGTTAGCACAAAGGGCTATTTTTTCTGTAAGATTCCCTGTTTGCCCAGGGGCTAGACCTGCCAAAAGTCACGTATGTAGTCTAGTGGGATTTTTCCACCGAGGCAAAGGCTAAGGTTGAGGGCAGCCATCTTATGCAGGCCCAAGCAGTCTCTCACAATTTTACACAGCATCTTCATAATTTCTGAGTTCAGAGTATTGTGAGGTCTTTGACAATTTGATGTCTTTGGTTATTTTGAAGTTATTTTTTTAATTTTGTGTTTTGTGGCAATTTTCTAGTATCTTATCTTTAGTTCTTATATGGTCAGAGGATATGCTATATATAATTTTAGTCTGTAAATTTCTTAAACGATTTATTTGCCACATAGTCCATTTTAATAAACATTCTGTGCACTTAGAAAAAACATCTGTAGGTCTTGGATACAGGGGTCTAGATATTTCAAGAAATCCTTTGTTAAGCATGTTACTAAAAATTTTGTACTTACAGCTTATTCTATCAACTGTGGAGATTTAAAATTTTTTAATTCATCTGATTATTGCTTTGTATATTTTGAATTTGTATAATTAGGTAAATACAAAGTTATTACTATATATCTTTTTGGTAATTGGACCTTTTGTCATTATGAAGTGTTATTTTTGCCTTTAGGTCTTTTATGCCTGATATTAATATCACTTAAACATCATTCTTCTGATTATTGTTGTTAAGGTATATCTTTAATCTGCTCATTTTTACTTTTTATATATCATTATGATTTATGTATCTTTTATAAGAGGCATATGGTTCATTGTTTTTAACCGGCCTGCCAATTCATGTCTTTTGGAGTATTTTGTGCATTTGTACATAATATTTTTCATAATATTTAACTCTGCCATCCAACTGTGAAAATGTTTTTGTTTGTTCTGTGTTTTCTTCCTATTTATGCCTTCTTTTAGATTTATCTTGGCTTTTTTTTTTTTTTTTTTTTTGTACCAGCAACCAAACTCAGGACCTTACACTTGACAGTAGGTGCGGTACCACTGAGCTAAACTACTGGCTTTCATATTTTATTCTTTTTACCCCTTCTATTCAGTTTTAACTATATAATTTTTAATTTTTGTGTAGTGATTAACCCCAAAACTAAAGCGTGCTTCCTTTATTTATCAGTCTAGTATAGGCTTTTCCATCTTCTCAAAATATATAGGGAATATAGAACAGATTAGCCCACTTAATGTCAATATATTTTTGAAATTTGTGTACTAATTTAATACTTTATATGCCAAATTTTATGACATTATTATTGTTCTATAGAGTTAATATTCATTTAAATTTGCTCACATTTTTATTTGTTAATTTTGTTGTTGTTCATTTTTTGAGCTTGTATTTGGGATTACTTTTCTTTGCCTAAAGACACCCTTCAGTATTTACTTTTATTCAGACATATTGATGTCATATTCTGCTATGCACCCCCTTTTTTTCTGCCTACAAATTCCTTTAACTTTCATTTTTGAAGGTTATTTTTTGTAAGCTTCCAAATTATAGAATGGAGTTGTAAAGTCTTTGTTGCAACTATTCTGCTCTGCTATTGTAGCACACAAGCATCCATGGATACTACATTAACCACTGAATGTGGTTGTACACCACTAAAATTTTATCTGTGGAAAATTAAATTGAACTTTATATAATTTTGATGGGTAGCAATATATATTTTTATATACTTCAATCACTTAAAAATGTAAAAAACTATTCTTACCTTGCTGGCTTTTCAAAAATAGATGGCAGACTGGATTTGGCTGTAGTTCACAACCTCTAATCTAATTGTTACTCCTTCAAGAAAATCTTTTTTTTTTTCCCCTGTGACTACTTTTAATTTGGTTTTTTTGCAGTTTTATTGTGTGCTTTACTGTGTTGTTTTTATTTCTCATGCTTGAAGTTCATTAGCTTCTAAAACTTGATTTTTTTAATCCATTTTGGAAAATTTTCAGGGATTATTTCTTTAAATTGTCATTTTCATTTCTCTTGCTAGCTTCCCAGAACTCTGATTACATCTGTTGTACACATTTTCATTCTATCTTGTGTGCCTATTATACTTTTTAAATGTGTTTTCAACATTCTATGCTTTGATATGAATATTTCCCACTCTCCTGCCTTCTGTTAATTCTCATGCTATTATCTGCTATGCTCTTAGCCCATATTTGAATTATTTATTTATTTATTTATTTTTTTCAGTACCGGGGATCAAACTCTGGTCCTTGTGCTTGTGGAGCAGGCACTGGAACCACTGAGCTAAATCCCTAGCCCACTCATATTTGTATTCTTAATTTAGTTTTCATTTCTATGGTTTCCATTTGGTTCTTATTTTGTACTAATAATTCTTTGATGAAATTGTTAATTCTTGTCTTATTTTCTTAAATATACTTATCATGGTTATTTTAAAGTTAAGTCTAAGATATCAGTTATCTGAATTCATTTTAGATCTTTTTTGTTTTATTCTCCTGATTTTTTTCTTTTCTCATTTTTCTCTTCATGTATGTCTGTTATTTTTTATTGTCAGCTATTGACTATTAAACCTATTGCAATAATTTGCGGTTTTGGATTATGTTTTCTGTAGAGGATTAATGTTTGCTTTTGATGGGCTGCTAGACTAGGGGCTCTAATATTCCTCAGTCATCTTAATTAAATTGGAAATTTAAATGTGCAAGGTCTTATTACTTAAGGAAGTTGGTGTGTTTCTTAATCATTCTATACTTAGGATATATAATCGTGAGGTTCCAGCCAAACGCTAGAGGTTCCATTGTTTTCTACTTTGGTGGCCAGAAATTCACTGTCTGTCTTGCCCTTGGGTCCATTGAAAGTTTGGCTTACCTATTTAGTCTATCAGCCACTTTTTAGACAATTAAAATATATCCGTGGGGGAAAGAACATCAAATATCAGGATCTCTTTTTGGGTTTTCCTTCTTGTAACTTTTTAAGCCTTCGTGGCTTTCAGATGCTTTCAAATGGACTTTGTTTCTATATTTTGTCTGACCCTTCTCTAATTGTTCTCAATAATAATGTTAGTTACTTAGTCTAATATCACAAAAGTGTAATTCTCTCACATATGAAAGATTATTTTCCTGTTTTTTGTTCTTTTTCTTTGGAAGTAATATTTTACTTTCAAGGAAGATGAGAAATTAGCCTATATATATAATGAAGTCTCTGCAAATACATATATTAAAGAAAATTTATAATTGCTAATTAACATAATAGTGATGTTTCTGCATGCTAAGCTTTTAGAATTTTATAGCATTTTAAACCAAATGTATCTGCTTTCCATGTATGTATATCTATAGATATAGATATAGATATAGATATAGATTTGTTGAGACTGGTTTTCTGTATGTAGCCCAGGCTGGCCTCAAACTCTTGATGATCCTCCTGCCTCAGCCTCCTGCATGCTGGTATTACAGGTGTGTACCACCATGCCTGGCTATTAAATGCAGATTATAAAGTAATAAAAATCATTCTACTAAAGAAGGTTTTGATCCAACTTGTTTTTAAATATTCAGGCATAATTGCCTGAAAATTAATTAAGTTTCAAAAGTCATATATCTTTAAAAAATATTAAATTGCCTGTACAAATAAATGATAAGACCATACCTTACACTAGAATTTTTTAATGAATTATTGACAAATCTTCAAAAATGTTCTTAGAATCTATAAAAACATGTCCATACCTAAGGAAAATTACCACTATTTGAAAAGTCAATAACTGCCGATAATAAGTTTTTGACAAATTTGTTCAATTTACTTTTTGAAATTCGTTATCTTTCTCCAGAAAATTTTTTTAAAAGGTATGTAAAAGCTGGGAGTGGTGGTACATAGCTATAGTCACAGCACTCTTAAGAGGCTGAGGCAGACAAATTGCAAGTTCCAGCCCAATCTGATCCATTTAGTGAGACATTGTCTCAAAATAAAAGAATAAAGTGCTAGGGATATAGCTCAGTCCAAAAGTTCTGGGTTTGGGCCGGGGATTTAGCTCAGTGGTTCGGGGGCCTGCCTTGCAAGCGCAAGGACCTGAGTTCGATCCCTGATACCAAAAAATCCTGGGTTTAATCCCCAGTACCACCAAAAAAACAAAGAATATGTAAACAGACCTGAATAAAGTACTTTGCCAGGAAACTACTATACCAGGGAATTTTAAGAAAGCCTTTACACCAAAAGCAGATAAATGAGAAGAAAGGACTAGTGTCAGCTTATAAAGAATGCATTCTGTAGAGGTTGGTGCTAAAGCAAAGGAGAAGGGAGAAATACTAGAGAGGCTTAGGATGCTAAGTATGTTTTCATTGCTTTTTGTAACAGAGAAAAATCTCATTAAATTTGCCTCTTTTGTTCTATGCACAACCGCTGTCCCTTAATCCTACCTCGAAAACAAGGTCAGTTGGCAAGCAGTTAAAACTAAATAATCATGTTTCATTTTTATTATCATGTTTACTGAGCTTTCTCCAGTTTAGGAGTTACTTGATTTTTCTCTTTTTTCCTTGTAGACTTGGAGACCAAACCTGAAACCAAGAATGCTATGCTGACAGAGGGTATTTTTGAAGGTTTATCACAGGAGATTATACTAGAGAAACTCAGAGAGAATGATCTATGGGACTCCACAATGGGAGGATTATGGAAGTGGAGTGACAGAATTTTTAGATGGCAAAATAGTCAAGAGAGTCATTTAAATCAAAGAATAGTAACATACTGGAAAACTCCCATTCATCAAAGAGGCATCAGATTTGGATCTCCTCTTCCAGAACCAGGAATTATTACAGAAGAGTCCCATGGAAAATGCCAAATATATAAGGAAAGTTTCACAGAGAATTTAAATTTGATTGCAGATGACCATTTGGGGAAAATAATTTATAAGAATACAGAAGGTAACAAAGCCCTAAGACAGATCTCAGAACTTACATTGAAAAAAAAATCTAATAATAAAGAAAAACCATATAAATGTAGTACATGTGAAAAGGCCTTTCGTTATAGGTCATTATTCATTCAACACCAGAGAACTCACACTAAAGAAAAACCATATGAATGTAATGAATGTGGGAAAACATTCAGCCAACCTTCATATCTTAGTCAACATAAAAAAATTCACACAGGAGAAAAACCCTATAAATGTAACGAATGTGGAAAAGCCTTCATTGCTTCTTCATCACTTATGGTACATCAGAGAATTCATACTAAGGAAAAACCTTATCAATGCAATGTCTGTGGAAAATCTTTTAGTCAGTGTGCCCGTCTTAATCAACACCAACGAATTCAAACTGGAGAGAAACCTTATAAATGTAGTAAATGTGGGAAAGCTTTTAGTGATAAATCAAAACTTTCAAGACACCAGGAAACTCATAATGGTGAGAAACCTTACAAATGTAATGATTGTGGGAAAGCCTTTAGGAATAAGTCATATCTTAGTGTACATCAGAAGACCCATACTGAAGAGAAACCATACAAATGCAATGAGTGTGGGAAATCTTTCAAGAATACCACAATTTTTAATGTCCATCAGAGAATTCATACTGGAGAGAAACCCTTTAGATGTAATGAATGTGGGAAAGCCTATAGAAGTAATTCAAGCCTTATTGTACATATCAGAACTCATACAGGAGAAAAACCCTATGAGTGTAATGAATGTGGAAAAGCCTTCAACCGCATAGCAAATTTCACAGAACATCAAAGAATTCATACAGGAGAGAAACCTTATAAATGTAATGAATGTGGAAAAGCATTTATTAATTATTCATGCCTTACTGTACACCACAGAATGCATACAGGAGAGAAACCCTACAAATGTAACGAATGCGGAAAGGCCTTTATGCGTTCTTCATCTTTAATCATACATCATCGTATTCATACTGAAGAGAAACCTTATCTATGTAGCGAATGTGGGGAATCCTTCAGAATAAAGTCTCACTTAACTGTACATCAGAGGATCCATACTGGGGAGAAACCATATAAGTGTGCTGATTGTGAGAGAGCATTCACTAAAATGGTAAATCTCAAGGAGCATCAGAAAATTCATACTGGAGTGAAGCCCTATACATGTTACGATTGTGGGAAGTCCTTCAGAACTAAGTCATACCTTATTGTTCATCAGCGGACCCATACTGGAGAAAAACCATATAAATGTAATGAATGTGATAAAGCTTTCACTAATACATCACAGCTCACTGTGCATCAAAGAAGGCACACAGGAGAGAAACCCTACAAGTGTAATGAGTGTGGGAAGGTTTTTACAAGTAACTCAGGTTTCAATACCCATCAGCGAACACATACTGGAGAGAAACCATTCAAATGTAACGACTGTGGGAAAGCATTTAGCCAGATGGTGCATGTCACAGAACATCAGAAAATCCATAGTGGAGAAAAGCCCTATAAGTGTGATGTCTGTGGAAAAGCCTTCAGGAGGGGTTCATACCTCACGGTGCATTGGAGAACACATACTGGAGAAAAGCCCTATACCTGTAAGGAATGTGGAAAAGGTTGTATTACTCTATCACAGCTAACTCTACATCAGAGAATCCATACTGGGGAGAGGCCATATAAATGTGAAGAATGTGGAAAAGCCTTCAGAACTAACTCAGACTTCACTGTACATCTGAGAATGCATACTGGAGAAAAACCCTATAAATGTAATGAATGTGGGAAAGCTTTCAGGAGTAGCTCAAGTCTTACTGTACATCAAAGAATACATCAGAGAGATGCTCAGTTAGTATAGAGAACAATAAGTCATTAGTCCATGTGTCAATTCGTAAGAAGACTACTAGAAACTAAGTTTTATGAATATAGGAAAAACTTCAGTAGAAATTTACTAAAAAAATACATTTAAAAGACTATAAATATAATGTGAAAAAGCATTTAGCTATTTTTAGAAATTACAGAATAGTTCACACTAGAGAAATATGTACAAATGAAAAGTTTCATCTGTATTTCATGCTTTGCTCACTCACCATTATCTAAAATTAATTGCCTAAGCATATATTTGGCATTTTTTCCTACAATTTCTTGTAAATCTAGAGGTGCTTTATGGTTTTTTTTAATATCAAGCCTTTATCATATATGTAACAAATTTTTTCCTTACTCTACTTTGTCTATGTTTTTTTATGTCACAACATTCAAATTTTTACACTAAAATATATATCTTTTTAGGTTCTTGATTTACTTTTTAAATTAAAAGATATATCCTTGGGTCAGGGATTTAGCTCAGTGGCACCGCACTTGCCTCACAAGCACAAGGTCTTAAATTCAATCCCCGGTACAAAACAAAAGAGAGAGAGAGAGATCCTTAATCTCTAGGATTACTATTGTTTTGATTATTTTTTATTTTTCATTCTTTAATCCATCTGAGCTGACTGACTTCACAAAAGAGCTACTCTAAATGGCCGTTAACCTATCAAAAATTTTATACCTAAATATTACTCAGGGAGATGCAAATTTAGAACACTAATGAGATCAGACTTTCATGTGGGTTGAAAAAAATTAAACCATGTACTCTAAACTTAAAGATTATGTAACTCATTTTTCCACCAGCAACCCAGCAATATATACTATTTTAGATATTGTTTGACAGCATTTTCATAAAATAAAAATATCATAAAAATATTATCAATGCAAAAGAATGCAAATAAACATTTTTCTTGAATTATTGTTTTTATATGTGGGAAAAGAATTCCCAAATACAAACAAAGTTAGTGTCAAATAATAGGGAAATGATTAAATGTTATAACAGTATTTTAGAACAGCCTGAGAATTTTAAAAACAAGTTATACTAATTGACTTAAAGGTTTGTTAAAGTATTTTGATAAATTATTGCTTTATAACATGTATATATACAAGATTTTATTTTTGTTGAAGTGTTATGTGTATTATGTATATGTGTGTTTGCGTGATTAGATGTGCATGAAGACAGATATGAAAGAATGTACACCAGGCTGTCAATATTGGTTACCATGAGAGGAGCACAAAAAAAAAAACATAAGGTTAGATGAAAGAGATTTTTAAAATAGAAAAATGTAAATGTAGCATGTATGGTATAAAATAATATTAGGTATTTATGTGACTATTTGAGAGAGATGGATGAAAAAATGATCTCTAAAAAGTTAGTTATTTCAGAGTTGTTAGATGATCAAATACTGTTGGGCTTTTCTGTGCTTTGCTTTGCAATGTGTATGTCATATTTACATAAAAAAGAAAAATCTTTTCCTTGTGAAGCTAATTTATTGAACAACTACTATTTTTCAGGACTGACTTTAGATACTGGGTATACATTGATCCAGAAAGGTGTGCATGGATCTCAGAGCAAGAGAATCAGTTTTGATATTGCAAAGATTCCATAGTAATTACTCAGCACCTCATTCCTCCCATCCTGTGTTTCATCTGGAGGTGGAGATGAAAGTTCCAGGTGAAATATGTGTCTCTTATCTCTGGAATTTATGTCTAAGTTTTTTGACCAGAAAACCACAAGTGTGAAATGTATTTGTCACTTTCAACGTGGCGTGAAAGGAAAGGTCAAAATGACAAAAGGAGGCATGCTGTCAGTCAGATGTGTCTGGGTACAGCCTCAGAATATTGTATGATGAAGTATATAGATATGAAGAAGAAATGATAAGAACCCCCAAGTCCATAATGTCCAGAAGCTGTGGGAGTGCTTGGAGAGGAATGGAGTCAAAATGAGAACCCAGGGGCTGTGGCCCTGCTGTTGGAAGGCTGTCACAAATTAAACCTGAAAACCAAGTAGATCAAGACATGATGGCTACCCTTCATTGAATGGTAAAGAAAAAAGACCAAATACCTCTGACAGTATGATGGGATATTGGATGGATGATATAAACTGTTCCCCATTATGAAAGAATAATTTCACTTTGGCTAAAAGTGACCATTTCTGGTTGAAATTATAGTGAAAATTATCTTCTTTGGATATAGTTACTATACCACTTTTCAAATGAAAAGTTGTCAGACCCTGAAGCACTACCCTTGCCTCCCAACCCTGCCTTAGCAGCAAAGCATTTCAGGGGGAGGAGCATAGTTGGTAGGTTCAAATAATGTAACAACAAAGTATTCATCGGGTTAAGGATAGGGTTGACATAGGCCACCTTGCCTTCACCAGTTTTAGTGGAGTTGTTAAGGTGACAGTCAGTGTGCTAGTCAATTCCTGTTGCTGGTTGTTTTTTTTGTTTGTTTTTGGGGGTTTTTTTGGTACCAGGGATCGAACTCAGGTCCTTGTGCTTGCAAGGCAAGTGCTGGAACCACTGAGCTAAATCCCCAGCCCAAGGTTTTTTGTTTGTTTGTTTTTTTTTTAACGTACCAGAAATAACAAACTTACATAGAGAAAAGATTGATTTTGGCTCAAAGATTGGAGGTTCCAGTCAGTGAGCAAGTGGCCTTGTTACTTTGGGCACATGGAAAGGCACACATCATGGTGGGAGTCCATGATGGAACAAACTTAACCTCATGAAGCAGGGAAGAAGAGAAAAAGAAGGACGTGCTTCTAGTGACTTAAGGTCCTCCCAAAGGTTCCACCACTTGCCAGTAGCACCATCTTGGGGACCAAGCCTTTAACAAAGGGGCACTTAGGTGATACAACAGCCTACTTCTATCTTGGTGTATCTTGGTGTCTCAAAATGGGTCTGATTTGCATTTCTTAAGTAACTAATGATGTTCAGCCCTCTTTGCGGTACTTATGGGCTTTTTAAATATCCTCTTGAGAAATACCTGTCCAAGAGTTTGGGCCAAGTTTTTTATTGGGAGCTCTGGCTTTCTGTTTGTTGGATACCTCATTCTAGACTCAGAGTATCTTTAGATGCTTGTATACAAATCATAGCATTTCCTCAGCTGCAGATTGCTTTTTCACTCTCTAAATGATGCCCTTTCCACAGAAGTTCTCAATTTTGAATAATTTTTCTTTTCTAAAACTCATTAGTACTCCAGTTTAAGAAATCTATTCCTGACTCAAGGTCATAAAGATATTTTCCTGTGTTTTCTTCCATGTACATATCTACTGTTTTTACTTTTATGTTCTGTAATCTCTGGAAATAATTTTTATATGTTGTTTTGGATAGAGATCAAAATTAGTATTTTTCATATAAATATATAGTTCATTGAACATCTTTCATTGACAATATTGCCTTCTCTTACCCTTAAGTTATAGTGAAATTTATTTATTTATTTATTGATTTTGGTATGGATGATCGGACTCATGATCTTGCAGGCACAGCACCACTGAGCTAAATCCCCAGTCCTATATAATATATAATGAAACATTTATAATAAAGCATTATACATATGGAAGGTTTTCTGAAGTAATGTCTTCCATTCTGTTTATTATTGAAGCAATACCAAATGTCCTTTATAAAAACTGGTAGTATACGCTTTCTAGTTTTTTCCTTGTTCAAAATTGTCACTGCCCTTCTAGGTTGCTGACATTTATGTATTCATTTTTTTAATGATTTTTTTCAAGTATCCCACTTCCAAAAAAATGATTTTAATTAGTATTACATCAGGTACATACATTAAACTTGAAAGAATGATCATCTTAACAACATTGAAACACCCAACCCATGAGCATGCTACTTGTATAGATTTTAAATTTCAGTAGTATTTGTATTTGTGCAATGAGTCTTTCATTTGGTTTTTTTCAGTGTTGCTATTCTTCATTTGTAGAAATGTGTTAACCTTTGTATTTGATACTTTTTATATTTTTTTATGATTTCATTTTCACATTGTTGCCACAATATAAATACATCTCACGTTTTTGTATTTATGTTTATATGTGTACACATATAGTAGATTTTTTAAAGCTGATATATATGATGATCATGGTAAATTCATTTAATTATATTTGTTTATTCATTATTCCTATATAAACAGTATGTTGTCTCTGATAAAGTAAAATCCACTTTACTTTGTCCTTTTTCATCTTTATAGTGTCTTTTCTTCCTTGCACTGGCTAGGACTTCCAGAAACAGAAATAGGTATCTTTGTCTTTTTCTCAGAATATAAAGGAAAACTAAACATTTTAACATAGGTGTGATGTCAGACAAGTTTTAGATAATGTCAGTCATGTTACAGAAGTTCTCTCAGATCCTAGTGTTCTGAGCTTTGTTATGGGCAGGTGTTGAATTTCATTAGATACATTTTTGTAACTATGATGATCATGATTTTCTTTTAATGTGCTTCAATTACATGAATTAATGTCCATGAGATGAATGCCTAACCTTAACTCTGCAAGGTAAAGGGGCACACGTTTAGAAGTCAGATCAGCCCATCCCAGAGGTCTCTGAGAGAAGAGTATCCATGGCCATGTCTTCCGGAGGGCCTGCTGGGGCTTCCACCTTTCATGTTCTCACCAGTTCTGATTGGCCTCAGACTTAAACTAATCTTAAAAGGACAGATGGCATTACAGTAATGTGTGCCTTTGTGTGTCACTGCAGATTGATCATCTTGGGCCTTTGTTGGCCATAGATGGGATTCCCTTTTGCATTACAGAAGTATGTCTTATCCTACTAAACACATGGATTTCTGCATGTTCGTTGTACCCCTGGCATATGGACACTCCAAAGTAGTATAGGTTCTAAGGAACACTTTTCTGGTTGTTTGTGTAACTTTTACTTGTTTTCTTTTGCTTGCAGGAAGGTTCTGCTAATTCCTTGTAACTTTGGTCATAGGAGTTATGGAATAGCAGTTCCCAACACCAACAGGATGAAAACATGAAACAAAACAGGGTGTATGTTTTTACTTATAAACTGTGGTCTTTCTCCTTCTAACCAAAACTAAGATGAACCATTCCCCTCCAATATTGGGTTACTAACAAGAAATTCGATTGCACTGAAGTGAAAACATCCAGAATAGGTAAAT